GAGGCAGTTAGAAAGCGTGTTTTCGGTTGTGTAACGGGTAGTTCCATTGAAGAATGTGTCCAGCACCAGAAGCTGCGTTGGTTGGGACATGTGTTATGTATGCCGAACCGTCGTTTGCCGAAGAGGGTGTTGTTTTCCATGCCCAATTCAGATTGGCAACTGCTAACACTTGGCTTGGCAGAGGAGTATGAAAGAGAACAAAAACGCTTGGGTGCTATCGGTGCTACTCGCCTTTCAGGATGGGGACCGCGTGATCCTCACTGTGCCTGGTAGGAGACACTACAAGATATGGCTGCCAACCGATGTCAGTGGCGTTCTTTTTGTCAGTTTCTGTCCAGATTGCCTGATTGAATGTCTGGAGGTGTAGGTACCTCGGAATGATTGTGATAAGCTAGCACTAAGTCCCTTCCCTGTTCACCTTTACTCTTTTATTTACAATAAGGACTTCAAATAAATCATGGTTATACGGCAGTGAAGCATCGGTGGTGAACACTGATGTCATGCTGTCGATGATGGTGATGATGATGATGTAAATTACACCCCAATGTTGTTCACTCCGCAGGGCGAAACTTCCTATTCACAATCTACTAGCTTGGCACTTGGATTTCAGTCACTTTTTTATTCAACTTTCATTGTTATAGTCGGTGGAATTCCGCGAAAAGTGTCTCAAAATCATTGGGGACAGGCATGAAGATTTACTGGCCAAGTTTGGTGCCATTCTCGCCTGTGGAATTTTGGACGCCGGAGGTTGCAATATGACTATTTCGCTGCAGACCCGAACAGGTACGGTTGACTACAAGTTTGTTCTTCGTATTTGGAACCCGTTTATACTCACCGCCATTTGTATGATCTACCTCGGTAACAGAATTGCACACACAAGAATAAGGGTATGCTGATTTTACGGTTCTGCTGTTGCATCATAGGGACGGTTGGGGTGGCGTGTGCCATCGGTCTTCAAGGATCATTCGTTTTGGACAGTGGAAAATCACATTAGTGTTTCTCGGTCGGAATTCGTCCTGTCGTGATTCCACATATCCGTTTTCTCCGTCGATAACGAGTTCTTCTCAGGGACTAATAGCCCCTCGAATATCCCTTCGTATTTTTCTGCTCTCAATGGTGCTATACCCTTTAATATCTTAGACATGTTTTTATTCCAGGTCTGTCTATCTTGTTTAAGCAGTCAGCATAGAAAAAAAATCAAATCTTTAGTTTTTGACCTGGTCGATAGATTTGTGCTCCTGTTCGGCTCTCTAGAGCAGGTGATGGCCGATGCTGTCGAACTGAATTTTGGACACAAAGGGCTTATCGGTCCCCCTACATCCGTTGTTACATCTTTTCCTTATGACCTTTATTTCGCTTGCGGTATGCTCTGTCAGTCGCAGTTTCATATGAGTATGTTGTCCACTCGGATCTATGACAGCCTGTGAACGTCATTGTCCAAAAAACATAGGAGTTTTCCAACGGATGTGAAAACTCGGATAAGTCCCTCGAATTACCAGATAAAGTCTTGGGCCATGCAGTCGAACACTTTCGGAAAAAACGAGAGTGTGAGAGAACATTCTTCTGGGATTTTGAGCGCATTCGACGATCAAATTGACTGGGAAATGTGAAATCTTAAGGAACATCTGCCGAATGCTCGTTATTGTCAGTTTGCAAGCCCTGGACGGGCGCTAGATCAATAGCCAACTATCCCTTATCTCTATTGTTCAACAGCGTCAATGTTCCACAATCAATGGCTTTCTTGAAGCCCACACTGTTGCAGAGTCGTCCACAATCTTGCTTGCTACATGCGACTGCCGTCAATTCTTTCATTTCAACGGGACGTTTTACTTGGAAACCTCCTCTTGTGCTTCATTTTCCTGCTGGATGTTTATCTGACTCTATTAGACCTATTTGTTCAGCTGGTCTTACACCTTGCTTTGTTCTGACTGCTCAGCTAGCAACGTTTTTGGTAGTTAGACCTACCGTCACGAAGAGACTGCCGTGGTGTGACGGTTCGTGTACCTCAGCCATCCATCCATCCCGCGACACTCACAGAGTCTCTCATACCAGGTTGGTCAATAGTTAGATGTCTGACGAACACAGTCTCCTGGCCCTCCAGGTTGGGTGTTGGAACATATGGCGACTTGTTCCGTGGAAATGATAGTGCGTTTGCATTTCCAGCCGAACACCGCTGCCTTGCGGTTAGGCTTTTTAGCCAAAGGCTTTGGTTGAGGACCCTAATCGTCCTCCTGTCTAGGCGTGGACGCCCTGGCAGTATCCCAGCCCTCGTACAACCATGACATTTACAACTAACAATGCTCTCATGCTACGGCAGTGAAGCATAAGTGTTGAACATTGATGTCATGCTGTCGATGAGGATGATGGTGATGATGAGTTAGACCTGGGCAGTACTTTTCGAAGATACCGTGATGCAGTTTACTGGGCGTAGTGTCGCTGCGACAAATGTTTGATGGTTTGCAAACAAGTTTTTTTCATAAGTTTCTTTCTCCTTTTAACCAGAAGTGT